GTGTACATGCTCTGGGCTAGCCTGAAGTGAAAGGCAGGACTTGGTTCATAATACTGGGGGTGAGGAAGCCTCAAGGAACCCGAGGAATATTGTGTGCTTTATCAGTGCTGGCTGTTTTTTTAAATGTCTGTGGCCCACTGTCATTTTCTGGGTCTCTTAGTTTAAATATCTAAGGAAAATAATCTCCTCAGCTTAGCTAATCTGTGTTCGAGTGGACCTTTTCAGTACCTCATAAAGGTTTGAGGATTGTCCAGCAAGGGGGATGGGGACGTATGGGATCCTAAGAAATACAAGGGCACCACCCACTGATTCCCCATTCATAGGGCCCATGCTGAGAAGCAGTCTTGTTGAGGCACAGCGGTGTGACCGAGTGTGACAGAGACCTCCTTGCTCAGGAGCATACCAGGATAGCTGCATGCTCGCAGTCAGGCCAGGTGCAGGTCTGCTGTCTCTTCTTTGTTCAGGGCCCTACCACTTGGCCCCTTGTATGTTCTTGTTCATTTTAGTCTCGATTTTTCCACAGGGTAACATAGGAATGCATTTAAAGCCAGGTATAAAAAAGAATAATCGTCGCAAGTAATTGAGCTAGTGCAACACTTTAAATGACAGTTCATTGATATTCAATGTTATTTTTTTAGTGTGTTACCATGATATTAAGCTATCTTTCCATGCCGACTTGGAAGCTTTGCCTTTTCTGTATTATGAGTAATCATTTTAGTTGTTGAAATTTAAAGATGTATACAGTAAAAGCTGTGAAGGCCAGGACCTGTGTTTAAGGTGGAAAGCCCAAATATTTTCGACTAAAATGAGCCACAGAAATGTGGTAAGACTGTATCCTGTGAAAGACGGAAAACTTGTGAGACCTGGACAGGCAGGGCTGAGCCCCATTGAGTTTGGGTTCTCACAGGTTTATTGTACTTTTCCAGGAAGGAGAGTTTGATGTTCTCTTCCACAAAGAAGGAGGGGCTTGTGTTAAAAAAAGAACTGAAGCGTCTCAAGCGATGTATTCAGAATGCCAGGTGTCAAATTCAGTCGTTGTAGTGCACATTTTCTTCTTCTGCAGGCTGTTTGTAAATGAGTACTGACGTTCATAGATTTTCTTTTTCTTTTCTTTTTTTTAATATTATAGCTGAAGAAATTAAAAAGCTACGGAAGCAACTGGACGAAATCCAAAAAGAAAATGGCCGATATATTGAATTGCTGAAAGCAAATGACATCTGCTTGTATGATGACCCCACAATCCACTGGAAAGGAAACCTCAAGAACTCCAAGGTCTCTGTTGTTATTTCTAGTGACCAAGTTCAAAAAAATATCATTGTGTATTCAAATGGGAGTCAGCCCGGTGGGAACAGCCAGGGAGCAGCCGTGCAGGGGATCACCTTCAACGTTGGTCAGAATCTACAGAAGCAAACCGCCAACGTGGTGCCCGTGCAGAGGACGTGCGGTCTCACACCGCCCGTGTCTCTTTCGGGAGTTTACCCTTCTGAAAACAAGCCATGGCAGCAGAATGCACTGGCCGCCCACCAGCCCGCTCCTCTCTGCCTTCCTGCCACCATCGGGGCGCAAAACCTTCTTGAGCTCGCCACCTCCGAAGGGGACGTGAGTGTGCTTGGTGCCACCAGTGGCCCTCTGATTGCTGTCCCAGTTGGGGCCTCGCCTCGCCAATCCCGGGCCTCGCGCACGCCTCTGAATGATCAAAGCCCGTCGGAGAGTAAGCATGGGCAAGAGAGCTCCAAGTTTCCGAAGCAAACGGCCCCTTGTGCTTCCAGTGTCCCCTCCAGCGCCTCAGCAGTGGCCACTGACGCGCCGCATGGACACCAGCCTTGTCCCTCAAGCACAGAAGACTGCAGAAGTGATTTTCAAAACACCCTTCTTGAATCAGTTACCACCTCAGCCTGCCCCCGGCCTCCCAGTTCTGCAGGTGTCTCTCCTCCAGTGAACGTTAGCCAGGGGACAGACTTGACGGACACTCCCGCGGTGGTGGCCCTGGCTACCACTGGGGCTGGGAAGCCGGCCGCCCCTGTCAGCACCGTGTCTGTAAACGCTTTGGACCATGGCTGGACCCTCTCCTGTTCTTTGCCTTCTTCAACTGTTAATACTTCAGATTTGAAAAACATGAATAGCCTTACCCGAATCTCCTCAGCTGGCAACACACAGACGACATGGACGACTCTGCAGCTGGCGGGAAACACCATTCAGCCCTTAAGCCAGACACCTATTGCTGTGACCCCAGTGTCAAATGAGTCTGGTCCCAGTCCCGCCACCCCCAACCCCAGTAGACACGTGGCTACAGGCATGAACTTGAACAATTCCTTTCCCGCAGATGGGCAAGCCGTTGAGCAAGTGGTTGTCACCTTGCCTTCTTGTTCACCTTTACCTATGCAGCCACTGATTGCCCAGCCCCAGGTTAAATCTCAGCCGCCCAAAAATCTCCTGCCAGTGAATTCAGCCATGCAAGTGATTCAGATGGCTCAGCCAGTTGGCTCAGCTGTTAATGCTGCTCCGGCGAACCAAAACGTTATCATTCTCCAGCCCCCCAGCAGTACCCCATGCCCCCCCATGATGAGAGCAGAGGTTCCCCACCAAACAGTCGGTCAACAGATAGTGATCATACAGACAGCCAGCCAGAATCCGCTGCCACTCCTTCCCGCGCCGCCGCCTGGGCCTGTGCGACTCCCTGTGAATGGAGCCAGTGCTCTCCTAGGGCCTAGTAATTCAGTGCAAAATGTGTCAGCCCCACAGACCTTCGGAGGAAAGCACCTTGTCCACATCCTACCAAGACCTTCGTCTTTGTCCTCGTCATCTAACGCAACTCAGACCTTTCCTGTGACCGTGTCCGCCCAGCAGCAGCCGCAGACCATTTCTGTAAACGGACAGCTCTTTGCGCTGCAGCCTGTGATGCCGTCATCAGGAACGACGAATCAAACCCCTATGCAAATCATTCAGCCCACCACCAGCGAAGATCCAAATACCAACGTTGCCCTGAACACGTTCGGTGCTTTGGCCAGCCTCAATCAAAGCATATCGCAGATGGCCGGGCAAAGCTGCGTGCAACTGTCTATTAGCCCCCCTGCCAATGCTCAGACTGCTGCAAGCAGTCACACCACCGCAGCCAACTGTGTTTCATTAACCACGACTGCAGTGCCTCCCACGACGACAGACAGTCCAGCCACACTATCCAGTATGTATAATCTAGTTACTCCTCCCCCGGTGAACACGGTAGCCTGTTTGCCCCCAAATGCAAAGTCGAAAAGGCTGAATAAGAAGCCCAGTGCCAAGAAACACATACTTGCTAACAAGCCAGCTTGCCCCCTGAGCGCAGCCAGAGATGTGGAGAAGCTGGGCTGTGCCAGCTCGGAAGGGTCTGCAGAGCTGCCCTGTCACGACGCCCTGCTGGATCACCTCCCTGCTGTTCTGCCATCTGTTCCTGTGGCCCAGGCGAACAGTGTCACCGTGTCGGGTACACATCCTCTGGAAGTTCTCAGTTCTGAGTCTCTACCCAAATGTAAGTCGACGGAAGTGTCTGACTCACCCTCCCAAGAATTGCTAACAAGGGAACATTTTGCCACAGCCCCAGCGAAATCCAAAGATCCTACACCCGCCTTGCGACGAGAGGCACCTCAGGAGAAGCCACTGACCAGTGAGACGTTACCAGATGCCGCCCAGGGCTGCGCGTCAGCCAAAGTGTTGAGTCCACCTCCAAATGATGCCCACATGTTGGTGTCTCAGGTCTCTGGTCTGTCGTCTACCGCAAACATCACTAGCACTGACTGTGTGCCCGAGGTGGAAATCGTTGCTGAACCCTGCGGGATTGGGCAAGATGGAGTGGATGCAATGCCAACCACTGGTCTGTTAAAGGATCAGAATTTCACTGCTTTGCTGTCCGATCTTGCTAAAGAAAAAGTCTCTCAGAAAACTCCTCTTTCAGTCCACGTGGACCATCCGGATTTTTCCTCTGAAAATCCCAAAGTCAGAGACTCAAGTGTGGATTTGCATCCCAAGCAGGAGCTCTTACTGCTGAACAGTGAAGGGAGAGATCCGCCCCAGCAGCATTCCTGCATCCCCGATCAGGAGGCGATTAATGGCTCTTTGCTCACTAGTCGGCAGACTGACTCGCCCATGTCCACCAGCTCTGGCAGCAGCCGCAGTTTCTCCGTGGCATCCATGCTTCCAGAAACAACCAGAGAGGATATGACTAACAGTGCAACAACTAATGCATGCGACAGCTGTACCTTTGTAGAGCAAACTGATATCGTCGCTCTTGCAGCGAGAGCTATTTTTGACCAGGAGAACCTTGAGAAGGGAAGAGTTCGCATCCAGGCTGATGTAAGGGAAGCCACTTCAAAGCCTTCTGAAACCTCATCCCTGGAGGGGGAGCAGCCTTTCAGATCACAGCTCCCTAAAGAGAATGACACAGAGCAGGCAGCAGCGGCGCCAAATGAATTTAGCCCTCAGGACTCCATTGAAGCCGCCGTGGATCGGCCCCTGGAAAAGCCAAGTTGCTCTATAGTAATTAAAACATCCACTGCCTCGTTACAGGTTTCAGCTTCTCAGCCACCAAGTTTAAGTGTGAACAATCTTATTCATCAGAGCGGCATCAGCCATCCTCTGGTCAGCTGTGCGGGTTTACCCCAATCTTCAGAGCAAACAGCAGTTCCCGCCACAGTTAGTCTGACTGTCTCATCTAGCTCCTACGGCAGTCAGCCCCCCGGCCCATCTCTGATGACTGACTATGCCCAAGAACAGCTAAATACGATGACCACTACCATACCAAATCCACAGATTCAAGAGCCGCTCCTAAAGCCGAGTCACGAAAGCCGTAAAGACTCTGCTAAGCGCACGGTTCAAGATGACCTTATCCTCTCTTCTGCCAAACGTCAAAAGCATTGTCAGCCAGCCCCACTCAGGCTTGAAACTATGTCCCTGATGAGCCGGACTCCAGACAGCATTTCTGATCAAACTCAAATCATGGTTAGTCAGATCCCTCCCAGCTCTTCGACTTCCATCGTGCCTGTGAGCAACCCGACACATGCAGATGGCCTGACCAGCTTATTTCCCAGTAACAACTTTGGGGCCCCCGCATTGAGGCAAGCCGACGTTCCGTGCAATTCTCAGCCTCCGGTTGCTGAACAGCAGCAGACGCAGGCAAAGCAACATCTCCAGGCCCTGCAGCAGCACGTTCCAGCTCAAGGAGTATCTCATCTGCACAGTAACCATCTCTACTTAAAGCAGCAGCAGCAGCAGCAGCAGCAGCAGCAGCAGCAGCAGCAAGTGGGGCAGTTAAGAGAGCGGCATCACTTGTATCAGCTGCAGCATCATGTACCGCATGCAGAGAGCTCTGTCCACTCGCAGCCCCATACTGTCCACCAACAGAGAACTCTACAGCAGGAAGTTCAAATGCAGAAAAAGAGGAATCTGGTTCAGGGTACTCCGACCTCTCAGCTTTCCTTGCAACCGAAGCACCATGGAACTGACCCATCCCGTTCCAAGAGCGGTCAGCCACACCCCCACCATCAGCAGATGCAGCAACAGATACAGCAACACTTTGGGACTTCCCAGGCGGAGAAGAGCTGTGAGAACCCTTCCACAAGCCGAAACCACCACAACCATCCCCAGAACCATCTTAACCCAGACCTTCTGCACCAGCAGCAGGAGGTTGGAGGCCGACAGCAGAGCTCAGGGGTTTCTTCCGAACACGTACCTGGGCACAATCCAATGCAGAGGCTTTTGACATCAAGAGGCTTAGAGCAGCAGATGGTGTCCCAAGCAAGTATTGTGACCAGGTCATCAGACATGACTTGTACTCCACATCGGCCGGAGAGAAATCGAGTTTCAAGTTACTCTGCCGAGGCACTCATTGGAAAGACATCTTCTAATTCAGAGCAGAGAATGGGCTTGTCAATTCAGGGTTCCAGAGTGTCCGACCAGCTTGAAATGAGAAGTTATCTTGAGGTCCCCAGAAATAAGAGTTTGGCTGTTCATAACATGCAGGGCCGTGTGGACCATCCTGTTGCCCCCGAGATCCGCCTCTCTGATTGTCAGACATTTAAACCAAGCGGAGCCAGTCAACAGCCCCAAAGCAACTTTGACGTCCAGTCGTCAAGAAACAATGAAATAGGGAACCTGGTCTCAACTCTGCGAAGCATGCAGTCTCAGACTTTTCGAATTAGTCAAAACACTGGCCCGCCCCCGATTGACCGTCAAAAGAGGTTACCTTATCCGCCAGTTCAGAGCATCCCAGCCGGACACGCTCTTCCCCCAAGGGGCAGCGAAAATACATGTCAGCAAAGTTTCATGCAGACTTTGCTTGCCCCCCACCTCGGCGATCAGGTCCTCGGGAGCCAGAGAGGACTCTCAGACCATCAGAGGAACACACAGTGTGGCCCCTCCCCTGCCATTGAGTACAGTTGTCCCCCGGCTCATGAAAGTGTCCATGTGCGAAGAGAGAGTGAGAGTCAGACTCGAGACAGCTGTGACATGTCCTTGAACGCAATCAACACCAGGAGCAGCACGTTGAATATTCCTTTTTCAAGTTCCTCTTCTTCAGGAGACGTTCAAGGCCGAAACTCAAGTCCCAATGTTTCCGTCCAGAAATCCAACCCCATGAGGATGACCGACAGTCATGGCACAAAGAGCCACATGAATCCTCCAGTCACAACCAACATGCATGGGGTGGCAAGGCCAGCATTGCCACACCCACCAGTGTCTCACGGAAGTGCTGATCCAGGGCCCCCCGTACGACAAGCCAGTTCTTCAGTTCCCCAGCGATCCAGGCATCCCCTGCAAGATAGCAGCGGATCCAAAATCCGTCAACCGGAAAGGAATCGTTCTGGAAACCAAAGGCATAGTAACGTCTTTGATCCAAGTCTTCCCCATCTGCCTCTGTCAACTAGTGGCAGTATGATTCTTGGACGCCAGCAGCCCACTGCAGAGAAGAGGGGAAGCATTGTTCGTTTTATGCCCGACGGCCCACAAGGACCCAGCGATAATTCAGCTCCTGACCAGCATACGCTGTCGCAAAATTTTGGTTTTCCTTTTATTCCGGAAGGTGGCATGAATCCACCGATAAATGCCAACGCTTCCTTCATTCCACAGGTTACTCAGCCTAGTGCCACTCGGACTCCAGCCCTCATCCCCGTAGATCCTCAAAGTACTATCCCTTCCTTCTATCCCCCGTACTCCCCTGCTCATCCTCCACTGTCAAACGACATTTCCATCCCCTATTTTTCGAATCAAATGTTCTCCAATCCTAGCACCGAGAAGGTAAACGGCGGAACTTTAAATAACCGATTCGGATCCATTTTATCTCCTCCCAGACCTGTTGGCTTTGCTCAACCAAGTTTTCCTCTTCTCCCAGACATGCCACCAATGCACATGACCAACTCTCACTTATCCAATTTTAATATGACGTCTTTGTTTCCAGAAATCGCTACCGCTCTTCCCGACGGCTCAGCCATGTCCCCATTGCTAACCATAGCAAACGCGTCTGCCTCGGACTCTTCTAAGCAGTCCTCGAACAGACCCGCCCACAACATAAGCCATATCTTAGGTCACGATTGCAGCTCGGCTGTTTAAATTCTGATAGATGTCACAGGGGTGCAGTGTAAATGTCCCGGGCGAGATGACGCGACGGATCTGTGTGTGTGCGCAAATATACGTATCCGGAGAGGGACTGTATGTGTGTGTATGTCTTTGTGTGAGCATAATCATTTTCAGTCACCTTCTGAATGTAGGGAGTCATGTCAGAGATGATGCAGATCTAGGGATGTCCCCTGCCCACCAAAAAAAAGAGAATCTTTCATTTAAGCTGCAGGTTGTGCTTGTCCAATTTCCAAGCAGATTTTCAATTCCAAATTTGATGTATAACCTTTTATGAATCATAACCTAAATATGAATTTATAACCAAAATACGAATCAGCTGGGGGCAGATTATCCGGTTGCAGGCTGAATGGGAGGAAGGAATGGAGATTTTAACCGCTGTCATTAATTTATACATTTGGTTGAGTTGCTTCCCCCCAAATAGAGGCAAAGTGATAGCACCAATGGTTCATAACCAAACACTGACTCCTGTCAGCAGCGAGCAAGGGCAGTTTCTTAAACATGGTAGGCACTGACTTGCATGCTTGTGGCTAAAGTCAAGCAGTGAACACGTCAGATTTTAAAACCTGTGGCCATCGAGTTGATGCCGACTCAGCGATCCTATAGGAGGAGAGTGGATGGAATTGGCCCAGAGAGTTTCCAAGGCTGTAATCTTTACAGAAGCAGACTGGTGACTGGGACCGGAGCTGCTCGTGGAACTCAAACTGCCGACTTTGAGGTTAACCGCCAACATTGACCCACTCTGCCCCAGAGCTTCTTAGCAACTGAGTTGTTCAGGTTAGACTCTTAAACCCAGGTGTGCTTTACCTGGTGACTCATTTCTTGATAATAGAATTCTTAAATTGGTTGGTTTCATATCTTGTTCTTCAAATTAGGGCGCTGTCTTGTTTTTTTACTGTGCCAAGATTCTTTAAAAGAAAGGTCTTCCTTAGACAATTAGCCTTAAAAGTAGGAAGCTAAAATATATGTATACATTTTTTTCTTTCCATTTTGTAGTTGCATTTTACACCAGACCACAAGGGGGAAAAAGCAATTATACTGTGGAGTTTTGTGTGATATTCAGTTAGTGAGTTTTGCTGCAGTAGTCTCTATGTTCTATTTATTGGATCTTGAATTAAGTTGGTTTTTGTTTTGCATTGATTGAATCATTAAATACTAATCAGTAAATAGTGTGTTTGGAATCTACACATTTATTTGAGCCTGATTCTTAAAATATTTCTTAGCAGATTCTTAAGCTCTGTCAGTGTTTTGATTTAATGATATTTATACTTAAATAAGATATTTTATATTGCATTACTATCCTTCATAATAGAATTATGAGATTAATTTGCTCATTATTTTTCCTGATGGTAAATGTGAAATGGTGCTTCAAAAGTGTAGTCTTTCTACATGCCCTTGTCTGTCATGTATGTCTGTATGTGAATGTGTGTACATGTGTCTACGAAGACATGGATTTTAAAGTATAAACTGGTCATTTAAAAATAAGCTTGCCATCTGACAATGGGACATTGAGGCCTGAGACCTGCTGCAGTATGGAAAAACTTGATGTCCAGGGGTTTTTGAAACCTCCACTGAATCTTATATTTTCATTTTGGAAGAGAAAATCCAACACTAAGAAAACAACCCTTTACTCAGACACATTGCTTTATCATTTGCCAAAAATGGGATGGCTTAGGGCATGTCTCTTCTGTTATCAAAGTGAACCCCAGGACCAGCATCTCGCCCCCTGTAAACAGCCTCCTTAGGCTTGGTCAGAGCAGTTAACTCCTGTGAATACCTCTGCAAAAGACTCATCAAAAGGGTCGCTGTGCCTCCTCCACTGTTCTGACCAAACTTGCCCATCTGCCTGCTGCCCGCCCGCTAAGGCAGGCTCCTGAGGGCAAACATACTGTACATAACCAAGAAAAATGTCTAGGGTTTCCCCCCTCTTCAAAATGGCCATAAGGAGAGAGAGGACTTGATGAGTAAGTCAAATAAGATCAACAGAGTAGTTGGAATGGCTTCGGGTGGGCAAAGTGAGATTCTAGACGTACTTCATAATTCTCTCAACTGAATCGAATGCTTTAACATTCAAGTGTTTCCTTGTCGTTGAAAGGTCCAGTCCATCGGTTTCCATTCTCTCTCTTTCTCTCTCTCTCACATGCACACACCACCACCACCACCACCCACCCCTGTTCTCAAGACTGGGCATCCTGACATATAATCTGGTAACAGGCTGACGAGCACCATCACTTGCCGTTTTAAACTTGAACATTGTAACACAGGGTCTCAAAGCCTAATCATTTCACCCATTTCTTTTCCAGTAGTTCTTTTTATCCGCTGTTCAGAGATAGCATTTACATTTCTCTGAGCTTTTATTTCAAGACTGTTTTGATCTTGAACTGCACCTAAGTAAGGCCTCTCTGACCTTTGGAAAAGAGCAAGTGATTGGACTCCTGCTTATACACATCTCTGGGTATTATGTATGCATGAATATTTGAGAGATCAGTTCAGAGATGGACTCAATCCTGACAGCACAGCGCTCTGACTTTTATCTAAAAGTATGAGTGTCTCAGTTTACCAGCACTGTTAAGTATTTGATCGTTGGAGCTATCCGTCTTTTTGGTGAGGCCATTTATTATATACGCTCCAGTGGTAAACCAAATTTAATTTTTGTAAATGGGTAGTAGAAAACGGAGTCTCTTGATTATGGTAAACTTAACTGTTTTTCTTCCTGGTGAGGATGACTTTGGAAGTTTAAAACCATTCCCACAATTAATTAAGTCATTTCTGAACATAGGAAAGCATCTTCAGTCCTAAGTGAAAGTCACTGAGCATAGCTTTTAACACACCGCTCACTCAGGGTCAGGTACAGGGAGTGTGTGATGCCCCTACACAGTTAACACAGTTCCCTCTATTATTGTAGATCTTTATTCATGTATAAAATTGTTAATGTCAATCACTGATAAATCAAGCTTGATGCCATTTCTTTTTTCTTATTTGGTGTGTAAAGTTTGCTTTGGGATATCATATATATGTTTTATACTGTTTCAGGAAACTTTTGTTTTTACTCTAAGACTTTTTGGGGCACCAGAGACGGTAGTACCCTCTTTCTAAATAGGGAGTGAAAATTTCCACAGTAATCATGTTTTCTACAATTGAACATATCAGAACTGGGAAAAAGGAAGAACAGGGAAGGGGTGTCCCCCCCCACCTCCCACCCCCCCACCCCACAGTGGCTTCTAGTCACATGTCACAGGGATGTTGAGTTAAATGAAAATGAGCCTAGCTCCTTAAACAAACAGATCGATTTCAGCATTGCATAGCTAATTTAGTTGCCTTGCCCATGCCTTCTAACATCAGCCATTTTATGTAGAGCCTCAAAGTGTGCCCCAGAGTTTATTGGAGAACTTTTTAATCGGTGTGACTTTCTTAGCTGCACCCTTCCTTCAGTATCCAGGTACACAGGAGCTTGTTTTCTTCTGCTCCGTGTAAGAGAGGTGGCAAGAAACCTGGGCATTTCCCTAGCACAATGATGATTCTTTTGCCTGGAAAGGTTTATTATTAGCCCCCTTATTCATTAGACCAGTGTGTAGCAGTGGGCAAATCCTCCAAGCCAGTGATTCCGGGGGCCTGGCTTTGTGAACCACCATGTGTCTCACTCTCTCGAAGGGCAACAGTATGGTCACACGATCCGCCCAGCGTTGATTTAAAGTATTTCCTTGTGCCATAGAGCTCTTCTTCTCTTTGGTGGACTTCTTTTTCTCACGGCACAATGAAGAAGGCACATGCGGCCCTCAAACCCAATGGCTGTGGGTGGAAATCCTAAAGAGATTGGAAGCCATTGTGATTCTGTTGTCTGTGCAAACCCAGCCTTTTGTAGGGAGATAATGCCCCCCTGGCTGTGTACACCCAGAGGGCAGCACTGAAGGCCAACAACCAGGTGGACTAGTGTGAAATTATTCATGAGTGATGACTATTTGACACTTATGTGCAAACTAAAAGCAGAAGCTAGATCCCCGCCTGCCCCCCTCCCTCCCACACAAATGCCTTTTTGGTTGAGTGCTAATACTTTTTCCTCCCAAATGTTAAACAGAAAATACCACACACACACCCTTTTTTTTGTTTTGTTACTTAAAACCATGTTCTCTCCGCATTCTACACTCCCTGTGTGAGCCTGGGAGTGTGGGGGCACCCTCAGCGTAGATTGAGGTAGTCCAGCTCACTGGTAAGAAACATTGAGAGCCTTCTTGGACACAGAGCTTCTAGTCCTGCCCACAGGTGTCTACCCCGGTACTGCACTTTACCTGAAACTGTGCCTCTGGTCCTTTGACCAGCCATTGGAACATATCATCCTCCCACCTCTCAGTTACAGCAAAGGACCCGCTGAGATGGAACATGCTGTGGCGTCAAAACACCGAGAAGACGAGAACAGCTGATGTTTCTCACTGTTGCCTTATTTTCTGAGCCATCTTTGATGCTGATCTTGGTAAAATCTGACTAATAGTAGCAAAGCTCCTTTTAAACTCAGCTTGTATGTGGTGGTCACTCAACATCCTTGTTTCTAGATTTGCACACTCTTAGCAAGTTTTTTTGTTCGCCCATGAGCCAACCTGAGTTGAAAATATTGGACATAATATGCAAATTGGCTTTATTTTGAATGACCACATGAGACGTCACTAGAGATTTAGTGAGCTATAGAAGAGAATTCATTTGTAATTTAACCCCTTTTTTTTAAAGCAGGTGATTTAAAATTTCTTGTTGTTGTGTGTACAAGTCTCCACCATACTTTATCACAGAAGCATAAAATTTACTCCATCTGACTTCCTTCTTCATGTTTTTGGGTCTCTGTCCTTCTCCCCCCTGCAGCCCCGTCTCCCCACAAGTCTTAACAACCGTCTTTCATCTGTGAGGTCACTGAGGCACTGGACTTGACTATAGTGGTCACTTTTAAGGGACTTTGAACTAATGATCTTCCAAGAAGAAAGGGACCAGACAGTGTTGCTTAAGATGCTGCAGTTGTGTTACTGTGAAGTAAAGATTAGCTTCCACTTTCAGCACTATATATAGACACACATGCATTTATATACATATATGTTTATATGTAGATACATACCTTTGGGTAAAATAAGGTGGAAAATCTGAGGAGAACATAAACATCACCAATTATTTATAGATACACTGGGTGATAAGCTTACTGTAGGGCAGTCCCCAGGAAAACGAGTTGTAGTGCTTTCAATAGTTTAATATTTGTATCTCTTCTCAGGCCAGCTGTGTCTGCTGTGCTGTAAACCACCTGGTTTCTAATTCTAATGGAGACGTATTTGTTTTATAATGAAATCCAGAGCAGATATGTATTATATGATCAGGATTGTCCTACAGTTGTAAATAAGAATAGGTCCTGTTTATTTTGACATCTTTTTACAAATGCATTGTATTAGGGTGTGAATATTCTAAACCATGCTCTTGTTTAAAGTTTGGAAATTTTTATTGTTAAATGTAACATTTTAATGGTTGTAATAATTATTTGTATAGATATGAATATAGTATTTTATTTAAGAAAATAAACTTTGCATTTTTGCATTGTGAAGTCTTATCTTTTCTGATGGTTGTGTGTGCCACTTCAAACCTAGAATTGAAAGTATAATTAGATAATCTTTTTATTTTTCCAACATATATGAAAATGATTCCAGAACACTCACATAACCCATAAAGACTGTCTTCTTGATCAAGTAGCCAACCTCAATACACTATATAAAGACCAGTACTACGTGATCAGTGCAAAGTGTACATCTTTCTACTCATTGTAAAAAGTCACATCATAACAAGCGGTCTAGCTCAGAAGCAACAAAGCCCACACGGAAGAAGCACACCAGCCTGCGTGATCACGAGGTGCCGAAGGGATCAGTTATCAGGCATCAAAGAACAAAAAATCTTATCATTGAGTGCTCATCCCCCTGATACGATCGCTGAAGACAAATGGGTGCATAAGCAAATGTGGCAAAGAAAGCTGATGGTGCCCGACTATCAAAAGATATAGCTGACTGGGGTCTTAAAGGCTTGAAAGTAAGCAAGTGGCCATCTAGCTCAGAAGCAACAAAGCACACATGGAAGGAGCATACCAGCCTGTGCGATCACGAGGTGTCGAAGGGATCAGGTATCAGGCATCATCAGAACAAGAAAATCATATCATGAATGGGGGCGGGTGTTTGCGGAGTGGAGACCCAAAGCCCATTTGTAGGCCACTGGACATCTCCTTACAGAAGGGTCTTGGGGAGGAGACGAGCCACTCGGTGCGATGTAGCAACGATGAAACATACAACTTTCCTTTCTTTCTTCTCTGCTCCCCCCCACTCTCCTGTTCTGATCCCAATTCTACCTTGCAAGTCTGGCTAGTCCAGAGGGTGTACACTGGTCCAGATAGGAACTGGAAACACAGGGAATCCAGGGTGGATGATCCCTTCAGGACCAGTGGTGTGAGTGGTGATACTGGGAGGGTGGAGGGATGGTGGGTTGGAAAGGGGGAACCGATTACAAGGATCTACATATAACCTCATCTCTGGGGGACGGACAACAGAAAAGTGGGTGAAGGGAGACGTCGGACAGTGCAAGATAGGACAAAATAATTTATAAATTATCAAGGGTTCATGGGGGAGTGGGAAGGGAGGTGAAAATGAGCTGATGCCAGGGGCTTATGTGGAGAGCAAATGTTTTGGAATGATGAGGGCAATGAATGTACAAATGTGCTTTACACAATTGATGTATGTATGGACTGTGATAAGAGTTGTATGAGGCTCTAATAAAATGATTAAGAAAAAAGAAAAGGACAAAGATCTTTCGAGAAGAAAAAAAAAGTCAAATCAGAATTTTAGGCATGGAATTTTATTACAGATGGTCCAGCTTAAGCTCTGGTTGAAAATTAAGGACTATGATATTGTTATAGAACAGTACATCATGATCAAATGGGAGCTACTTAGGAATGCAAGGTTAACATTTTAGAATCAATTTGTGCAATCTATTGCGTTAACTGAATAAAGGGGAAAAAACTAATTCAATACATGCAAGGGGGAAACATGATAAAGTTTAGCATCCATTTATGGTAAAAACTGTACACAAGAGGCCATTACGAAGAGAAATTATTTGCAAAATAAGCAAAAACCACAGCTAAATGATTTTCCCCTGAAGTTGGCAACAAGGTAAGGACCTTAAACTCACCGCCATCAAGTTGATGTTTCATAGTGACCCTTATCACTCGTCCATTTAGCATAGTAGATTCAGATCCCCAGCCTGTGCATAGACGTTCCATAGTCATGGATTGAAAGGCTATCATTAAGATGTGAGTTCTGAAGCTAGTCGATAGGTTCATGAGATTATAACATCATAGTTTAAGTCATGGCAAAGGTTTTGCTATGTTTTTGTTTTAGATAGAAATTGACAACCCGGGCAGACGACCGAGAAACGAACGTCTGCTCGCCCTGTTGCTCGCCATGTCTGGCTCTTCCAGGGTCGCCGCCATGAAGAAAGTGGTTCAGCAGCCCGGCTGGAGGCCGGGCTCATTCGTGTGAAAGTTTCCCAGGCAGCTGCAGATCTGAAACAGTTTTGTCTGCAGAATGCTCAACGGGACCCCCTGCTGCCTGGAGCATCTTCAATACAAATCCCTTTAGACCCCAGAAAGTCTGTTCATTTTTGTAGTAAAATGAATCTTTCAAAGGTTTCCTAAGCCACTTCTTATGAACCAGTGACTATTCAAGGAGAGCTCAATTTGAACCTTCTACAAAAGCTTGTCTTCACAGTTACATGTGCCGTACTATACAAACTTCTACTTCTGCCAGTCCTTAACGTCTACCTCTGAATTTTCATGAATTTCTATTTCACAAGGGTTGTTTTATAGACACTGGCATCTGCATATAATAAAATACGTAGTACAAAAAAAATTGACAACCCGATTCCAAAATTTATAGGAAAATTGAAAGGTTTTAGGATAGTGTGCTAGAGTTGACCAGAGAAACAAATCCAGAGACACTCATGTGTATAAGAAAGAGATTTATATAAAGGAGCAATTGTATATGAAGAAAACATCAGTCCAGATCAAATTCATAAATCTGGATATTAGCCCATATGTCCAGTACCTGCCTGTAAATTCCTCTTCAGACTCACGCAACACATGCAACGACATCGAGTGCAGGAAGATCACAGGCCAGTGGGTGGAAAGTCTTATGAGTCCAGTGGTGGTGGAAGTGTCTTAGCACTGGTGTAGGTCTCCACGTGGCTCCTCCAGCTCCAGGGCTCTGGCTGCCATCAGCATAGTTTCATGCGATTTGCTAAAAGGAGTGAGTGAGTGTCCCGCCTCTAGTTTTGCAAGGAGTGAGTGAGTGTCCCGCCTCTAGCGAGCTATTTATCTCGTTAGCGCCTCCAAATGAGGTCATCAAGCTGTGACTTGATTTATCAGGCTAAACTCCACCCCTTCACTCAATAGTCTCAAATTGACAACAGATTGTGCAACTACCACAGATAGTTTAGATAATCTTGAAGGAAAAAGTTGAAGGTTTACTACAGTACCAGATTGCAAACATTGCTGTAAAGTTTCAATACTGCCATACTTGTTGGTACAAGTATAGACCCAGGGGACAGAATACCTCACTACCATCGAGTCAGTGCTGACTCAGCCTCCCCATAGGACAGGGTAGATCTGCCCCTCTGGGTTTCTGAGGCTGTAACTCTAGAGGAGTAGAAAGCTGCGGCTTCCTCCCCAAGGAGCTGCTGGTGTTTTTGAATGGCTTACCTTGCAGCTAACAGCCCAACGTGTATCCACTGTGCCACCAGGGCATCGAATAGAAATTTCAAAAATATACTATACACATAGAGTCACTTGGTTGGTGACAAAAATGCTAATTACATTTCAATAGATAGAAGATTATCTTTTAAATAAAGATGGTACTGGTACAATGAGATATACTACGAAAAGGCAATAAAACCTAAATTCCCTTATCTTACATTATACACAAATATTTAAATGGATCATAGATCTAAATATGAAAACGAAAACACTAAATATCCTAGAACAAAGGTTCTTAAAATGTGCCACCCAGAGCTTTTGTGTTCTCTGAAACTTTTAGTGGGGTTTCTGAGGTCAGATTTATTTTCATCGTAATAATGTTGGCGATAGGACCCAGGGGAAACGATGGCTATAAAATGAGGCCAGGAAGCAGGCAATGCGTGGAGAAACCACGGGTTGCAGGAACAATGCCTTCTTGGAAACGGAGCAGACCCAGGAAGGAGCAGGAGGGACAATGTGACTTGGTAAAATAACTCAGTTGGTGTTCAGATCACGAACTTCCTCCTCCAAGAAGACCTGGTTCAACAGGTTTAAGAGGCATGCACAGCAAGCACACTTGTGACCCACGAAGGGACCTAAAAAGACAGTCCCAGGACTAACCTGGGATTTGAACTAAGAACGAAAGAATTGTGTGTGGGCCCCACTAAATGCTCTTCCTATAGACCCCATTTTGAATTTTAAGACTCAGTTTGGCTCAACCCTGTGTACTCACCCACTGAAAAAGAGGCCCAGGAAAGACCTTGTAAAAACCATATGATTACAGAGCCTGCCCCAAACCGGAAACCTAGCCCCCCAGATACACGTACTGATTCTTGACTAAGATAACAGGCCAACAAAACTGTCTACTTTGTAAGCTTGGAAACATTCTGCGCCTATGGCGTCTCCCCTGTGGGTCTCCCCTGCTGCAGCCTATTCTTTAATAAATGCCTTAATGCAACTTTGACTTTCTAGGCTCATTGTCCTCGTCCAAGAAGGACATAACCTATACATTGTGTTGAAATTTACACCTCCAAGGAGAGTATATGGTGGGGTAAAGCTGGCATTTCAGCATGCAACAAGGCAGTGGCACCTATACCATTCCATGTCAGGAGCCCTGGTGGCTAGTAGGTTGCTGGCGAAGGAAGAGCCTTTCTATTTCTGTAAAGGTTGACTGTCTCAGAAAGCCACAGGGGCAGTTCTACCCTGTCCTGTAGGGTTGCCATGAATGAGGATGGACTTGATGGCTATGCTGCCTTCTTTCTCTCTTTCAAGTACTGTATTATTCATTGCCATGAACTCAGTAAGAAGTAAAATAACATCACTTTATGAAACAAAAACATGTGATGGAATCTCGGCTCTTAAATACACACCTTTAACCAATTCTTTTAAAACAATATTTAATAATGTATGACCACTTGATGTCTGTTATCCATCCTGTCCATCCAATGCCTCTCATTTCTTTTTTTTAAAATCATTTTATTAGGGGCTTATACAACTCTTATCACAATCCACACATACATCAATTGTATAAAGCACATTTTTTTTTTTGTATAAAGCACATTTGTACATTCATTACCCTCATCATTCTCAAAACATTTGCTCTCCACTTAAGC